GAGCCGGAGGCTTGCGATCTCCGCCTCAGCCTGGACCTCGGCGCACAGCGGGCAGGAAGCCCCCGAGGTGAGCCGCCGCTGCGTCCATCTGTTCTCGCAGCTGGATTGTGGAGCGGCATCCGGACGAGCGCTGGACACGGACACCCCCAACCCTTTCTCCGACTCCGCCCCCTGGCCCCTTGCACACACACCCCGCCGGGAGGGGAGGGGAAGGCTCAGCAACTGCCTGGCCTGGCTCTGACCCACCGGCCCCTCCGCAGAATTTCTCTGCAGCGAATCCCGGCCGGGAGCTTGTGGGGACTGAGGGCAGAAGTTGCCTCGCCCCCACCCGGGGTCGCGAATATCAGCTTGGCCGCTGCCGCCCTCTCGCACTGCCTGGCCACACTCCCCCTGCCTGGAATCCCCCTTTCCGCTTTAGCGGTCGGGTCCCCCAGCTCCGCCTCTTCTCTCCCCGCCACCGCATCCCCTCCCCACTCTAGCTCCTCCCAGGCACTCTTCGCACCCGACCGAGCCCTCCCTCGGCTCCTGCCAGCCTCCGCCCCCTGTTCTGCACACTCCCCATCCCTCCTTTTCCAGAGCCTCCTCCAAGCCCCGGGTGGGCTCTGGAGTGACTGTGGCTGGGGTCCTCTCTTGGAACTGTAAGAAACCCTTCTTGGGTGCCGCGCCCACTCCCCGGAGAGCGCCCAGCCACTTCGCTGTCGTCAGAGGCTCCAGGGAGACTCACCTTCCTTCTGGGAGGGCCGCACCCCTTGAGGCACCCGTGCTCAGCTGGCAGGCCGAGCTGCCCAGGCTGTGCGCTGGGCCTGACGCGTCCCCAGAGCGGCGTTGACCCTGGATGGCACATGGAGGCCGTGTTCCAGTGGGCGGACTGGCGGGAGAGAGGCTCCAGGGTGGCTGAGGTTGGAGGTGGGGGTTGTGTTGTTGAGATTACAGTTTGCCTCTCTCTTCCAGAGTCAGAGGGGAGCCTTCTCATTTTTCTGGCCTCAAAAGCAAAGCAGCATTAGACGCAGATGCTTCTCCCATCGTGCCCCCCACCCCGCAGGAAGTGCTGCCATGCAGTGCAAAGAGTGTGGGCTTTCAAGGCAGACAACCAGGATGGCTCCCAGCTCTGTCATGTACTCATTAGAGTACCTGCAGGGAATTACTTTGCCTCTCTGTCCCTCAGTTACTTTCTTTGTAAAATGGAGTAATAATAGTACTTACTGCTAAGGTGGCCAGTCACACAGTTAAGAGCAGTATAAGGTCTTGATATGTTGTTGTGGTGTGTAGAATATGCGGTTTATCCTCATTTTTCAGTTGTGGGTCTTGTGAAGAACAGATGAAAGACACGGCGGGGAGGGGCACTTGGCTAGCTGGCTGATCCCTCTGGTTAGGTGGGCATTGTGATTCCAGGCTCTGTCTGGGTTGGTGGAGGACCCAGAAGACATTGGAGTGTCTCCAGCTGTCCCTGAGATGGCTGTGGGATGAGGGGATGGGTATCACTGTGTCAGGGTGAGAGGGGGCAGCCTGGTCACCTGTTGCTCAATCCCTCCACCCACCCAGTCACCCTGGGAAAGGAGGAGAAACTCATCCACTGAAGGGCTGCTAGCACCTGCTCTGCAGTGGCTGAAGTGCCCGCTGTCTGAGGGAGGAAAAGAGTCCCAGTGTGGGCACAGGCCTGGCCCTGGATGACCTTGGACAAGTCACAGCCCCTCAGTGGGGCCCAGCCTCAGCCTCCGCCTGGTTCAGGTTGAGGTGAGAGCCCACTCACTGCAGCCCTTAGCAGAAGTGTGTGCTGCAGAAGGGCTCTTTGGGGGTGGGCTAATTATTTTAAATTTTATTTGATAGCCTTTAGTCAGTACATGCACACTCTCCAGCGCATCCTAGTCTCGCCCCAGCTGACTTCACACACTTATGCCACTTGCTGGTTCTCTATTCATTTGAGTTTGAGACCTCTGGGCTCTTCTGACTCTCCCATTATGAGGCTCTTAAAGGGGCAGTCTCCCAGCCTACAAAACAATTATTATTAATGCACACGCTGTTTTCCCTGTCTGATTAAAGAGAGGAGGACTTGAAGGATACTTTTTTTTTTTTTTTTTAAATGTCTAGTGGCTGAAGAACAGAGGAATCTTAGAGGAGAGAAATTTTCCCAGGGCCTTCAAGGTGCAGACCACATCTCCAGCCCTCTGGCCCACATGGCTGTTCCTGAGCATGAAGCCAAGTTGTCTCAGGGCTTATGACTAGCTCTCCAGTCCTCAGTTCCTGTGTGGCAGGAGGCACACTCATTTATTACTTGCTTTGTGCCAGGAATATTATGTGTGCTGTTTACTCCATTCTCCCGCAATCCTGGTGCAGTGTAGGTGCTATTCCTCTGGTCTTACCAGGTGAGGAAGCTGGGCATGGAGATGCTGGGTTGCTTGATCAAGCTCCCAGCAGCAGATCCTGGAATTAAACCCAGGCTGGGGGACCTGTTTTGTGGTCCTTACACTACTTCCCTATTCCCAGCACTGCGTTGTGCTCCTGCTGCTCCATCTCCAAGGTGGCCGCACGCTGACAGTGTAGGGGTGAGGGGCAGATGAAGATCCATGGGAGGAGGAAGGTCCTGGGCTGGCTCCCTAAGGAGGCCCCAAAGACACTAAACTCCCTCATTCTCTAACTTCCAGATCAGAGGGCAGCCCCCCACCACCCCAATCCATCATGGCTCCAAATACTGGGGTGCCCGGGTTGCAGGGAGGCGAGAGGCCCCTGCAGCAAAAGGCTACGGAGGGTCTGAGCCGAGATATGAGCTGGCAAAAGCCTCCTCTCCCGGCCAGCTGAGGGGAGCTGTCCAGGGTTCTGGCCCCGGCCCCACTACAACCAAGAAGCCTCACACGGAGACCCCGCCCCTCTGGCGTCCCCTTCATTCGAACGCTTGGTAAATTCCTTTCCCTACTCCTCTATCTGAGTATAACTTGCAGGCAACTTCCCATCCAATCCTGTAGGAGAAAATGGAAGCATTTTTCTCTCCTTTCTCAAGCAGAAATAGCAGTTGTTAGGGCAGCATTCATATCTGGTGCTCAGTGAAAGTTGAATGAGCAGAGGAAGGAAAGAACGTGTTTACTAGACACACAGAAGAGCTTATAAGGCATCAGGCACCGTTCTAAGCATTTGATAAGCATTAACTCATTGAATTCTCTCATCAACCTTCATATTACTTTCTTATAGGCAAAGACTCTGAGGTAAAGTAATGCATTCCATCAGAGAGCTCACAAGTGGTAAAGATGGGATTCACATGCAGGTGATTTAGTTCCAGCGTCCTGCTCCCGGCCGCCATGTGGCCCTGCTGCAGGATGGCTAAAGACTGCGAGATAGCTCGCTTGAAAGTGTCTAGCCCAATGCTTGATACCTAGTAGGAGCTTAATTGTTATTATTTTGTATGGATCGGGACAAATTGGTGATTTCTAGCTGACAACCCTTCTTCTCATTTTATCCACAAGATACAACTGTGTCCACAGTCTGATGGACTAAAATTTCTTCCTTGCTGGATCAGTGCCATGTTGGGGGTGGGGGGCTTGCTGGGGACGGGGGAGTCCTGGTGTGTGGGAGTTTGGGAGGGGTGGAAGGATAGTCATGCTGCACCAGTGCCTGGGTGAGGTCTAGGGGGTATTTGGAGATCTTGGGTGGGTTGTGGTGGGGGGGTGCTGCTGTGGAGGGAGGTGCCAGCCCAGCCTGGCCTCATTTCTGCGAAGGTCATGGGGCCATGTCAGTTCCAGGGCTTTGCCATTTGTTGCTTCCCTGAAACATCTGGTTCTAGAGAGGTGAAACCACTGTATTTCTGTGGAGAAGCAGGCTGGTGTTGGTTATGGCAGTGTGTGGGTGGGGCACCTGCTCCTGATTTATTATTTCTTTGTCTCTCTGGAAGCACTTAAGCACAGGCTTCATTCCAATCAAGCTCATGAGCCTCTCTGGATTCCAGCACTGGGGGCTGGGGGTGCAGTTTGCTCAGACCTCCATAACCTGTCCCCTGTGCACTGGCTCAGGCGGGCCTCAGGGCCTCAGCATCATTTAATTAATTTAGGCTTCCCCAGTCATATATTCTCAGATTCAAAGGAACAAAGTGGCCCAAGTCAGCCTTTCCCAGAAACCTGTGA